CACGTCACGGGCGTGCGCGCGCTCCGCCCCGACCTGCTGCTCTCCGCCTCGGTGGACCAGCGCCTCACGCTGTGGCGCCTGGGCCCGCGCGGCCTCCAGCCGCTCAGCAGCGCCTTCTTCCATGTGCCCGACCTGGCCGAGCTGGACTGCTGGGAGGCGGAGGCGCGCGGGGAGCTGCACTACTGCGGCGTGCTCTGCGGGCAGGGCCTCGAGGTGCTGCGCTGCCCCGCGGCCGCCGCCGCCGTCCCACGGCCCCACACACTGCTCTGCGCGACGGTGCCCGCCGGGGACTGCTGCGGAGAGCCCAGCTCGGGGAGCGCGGGCTCCCCTGAGGGCACCAGCGCCTGTGGGGCACCCCAGGCAGAAGGCGAGGAGGCACCTGAGGCTCTTTCCTGCTCCTCCTTCTCCGTGGTGGCCGGACCCTCGTGCAGTCCCTGTGCAGCCCCAGCAGTGCAGAGACCTGGGCCACACGCTCCCTTCTCCTAGTGAGGAGCGGGGCCCCTTCTCGGCCCCTCTTGGTGTCCGGCTGCTGGAGGCCATTGGGACATGGGCAGGTGACCTCCCTTAGGGCTGTGCCCTCTCTAGGGAGGACAAGCCCCTATCATACACTGTGGGGCTGGCCCAGCCCTCGGGGGAAGGCAGACAGTGCAGGAGTTAAGGGAGGAAAGGGCCCCAGACGTGCCCAGATCACATTCAGCACCCAGGGGTTACGTGTCTGTCCCCACCAAACACTTGGGAGCTGTGTCTTGTTTCACAGAGCTGGCCATGAGCACGAGCCAGTGCTGGGGGAACTTCCTTTTCCCAGCCCCTGGCCATGGGTGCCCGTCCCCACCTCCCTGGCGCTGCCCCAGTCAGACACAGCACTAGTCCAGCAATGGCTGTATTGGAGCTGGGCAGCACATGGCCAGGCTGGGCCCGGCTGCTCTGTGCCAGCAGCGCAATAAAGAGCTCGGAGGAAACAGGCTGGTGCCTGGTACTGGAGTGCCTTGGTCCCTGGCCTTCCTCGTCTCCCAGCGCCAAATGCTCCAGGTCGTGGGCAGGAAGCTCCTCGGGAGCTCCGTGTGCCCCGACTGCCCTGCGCGGGCGGCAGCAGCCCCAGCCGTGCGGGAGGGCCGGCCCCGTCCTCGTCCTCGCGGCCCGTGTGCCGCAGCTGCCCCGCAGCAGCTCAGATCTGCGTGAGCGGCGGGAGGTGCAGGGTGGCCAGGGCGCTGTGGAACGTGTCCCTCACGGCTGCCAGCAGCTGCAGGCGAGCAAACATCTGCTCAAAGAGGTGAGGGAAGGGCTCCTGCGGGGAGAAGGGCAGCTGAGACCAAGGACAGGGTCTCGTCTGCAGCCCCCTCCCCTTCAGCACGTTGCCCAGCATGTCTGACTCACCCCCAGGATGTGGACACGGTTGTAGTAGGAGCTGAAATCCATGCTGAGCTGGATCAGGAACTTGCACACCTGCAACACACGGAGCAAGTGCTGCAGGGGCTGCTCTGGGGCTGCCTGCACCTCCAGGCACCACTGTATGAGCTATGGGGCGGCCCCATGCCAGGGAGCACCCCCAGCACGGCCCCCAGGTCACAGAGCAGCGGGCAGCACCCAGGGGTGCTCGGGCACGCAGCACTCACCGCCTCCGTGCTGGCTGTGATCCGGATCCCCTTGCTGGGCAGGGGCAGCTCTGCTGCCTGCTGCAAGACTTCGGGGAAGGGCAGGAGATAGTTGAAGAGCAGCAGCCACTCGCCCTGCGGAAGGGGCAGGTGTGTCCCAGCGGGCTGGATCTCCCAGGCCAGGAGTGTCCGTGCACCTCAATGGGGCTCACAGAGCGACCGCACTCGGCGGCCTCGGGCACTCACCTCCTCCCGCAGGCAGGAGAAGTTCAGTTCTGACGGGGGTGGCAGCGACGGGTACGTCCCTGGAAGGGAGGCGAGAGGCTGCTGCGCGGCTCAGAGCAGCACCAGGCGCCCTGGGGGCTCCCTCACACAGGCAGGAGGCTCCTCTGGGGGCTGCACCCGAGCCCTGTCACGGCCACCAGCCTCCTGCCACCAGCACTGGGGGCCGAGGCGGTTGTGGGGTGGCTCGTGGGGCTCCACAGAGCCTGAGGAGCAGCCCCAGAGTCGCTGCATTGGAGGGGCCCGTTGGGCTGGGCTCACCCCGCTCCACGGCCCGCTGGTAGGTGTCGAAGAGCGTGGCCAGCCGGGCACAGTTGTACATGACGAAGGCGCCGCTCTTCGTTCCCTTCGTGGAGATGCTGCTGTCCTCCAGGTCCAGGACGATCTGGGGGAAGAGCAGCCTGTGGTGCCGGCTGCGGAACCCTGCACCTTCTGCGCGGGATCGGAGCCTTCCCTTGCAGACACAGGAGCACACAGAGCCCGTGCCCACCCTGGACAGGAGCCCAGCCCTTCGGTGCTGGAGCAGCGTCCTTTGCCTGCCTGCTTCATCCCACAGGAAAGCCCCCTGCCCCGGACAGCCGCAGAGCCCCCAGGGCACCTTCCCTCTCTTGATGCCGTGCCAAGGAGCAGTGCACGGCCTGGCACAGAGCGCGGCTCTGGCCTCACCCACCTGGCTCCGGTGGGCAGTGCTCAGCATCTCAAACCTGATGGCAGCGGCTGTCAGCACATCGATGACCTCAGTCCAGGCCTCGTCTGCAGAAAACACAAGCGGTGTCACCTGCACAGCTTGCTGCACCCCTGCGGAGGGGCTACACACAGGGAACCGCCGCGCTCGCCTGGCCCTTCTCCCGTGGGCACTGCTCTGTGCCAGTGCCAGGGGGGAGAGTTTGGGCACCCTCCTCCCGGGCTGCTTCCCGGCGTGGAGAGCCAGCCCCACAGATGGAAGAGACCTGCTGGCCCCAGCAGTGAGACCCTGGGTGTGGAACCGGGAGGAGCAGCGTGGGAGGGGACGGAGCAGCACCTGCACGCGGAGCCGCGGAGCACCCCTCACCTTGTGCGCGCTCCCCGTACTTCATCACAGAGGCCTCGTGCATCTGGCGCTTCCGGAGCCTGGGAGCAACACGGAGAGCTACAGCCACCGCCGCCAGGCCAGGCCAGCTCCAAAGGGCGCCCAAGGGCTCCCTAGGTTGGTGCTTGGCCAAACCCAAACTCAGGCAGCCTTGGCAGGGAAGCGGCACAGACGGCTCCTTCCTAAACACCAACTTACTGCAAGTACTCCTCCGCTCCAACGGGAGACAAGGGCTTCGTCACCTTCACTGGTCCACAGACAAGCAGTTTCTGAGAGAGAGAGGAGGTGAGAGGACTCAAGCACTCAGAAGCTGGAGCAGCACTGAGATCAGCGCAGGAAGAACTGAGCCCGGAGAGCAGCCAGGGAAACTGGGTCACACCTATGGAAATGGGTGTCACAGGGAAAGCGGAGCCCCGTCCCGAGGTGCTGACGTACGACAGCAGGTTTGGTTAAGGACAGGCTGGTTCTAGTGTCACCTCTGCAACCTCCTCCTGCCCTTCCCTCTGCAGCAATAAAATCCCAATGTGAGAACTACTGCTCCTCAGCCTGGTGAGACTGCAGAGAGGCCGGCACTGTTCAAGGGAAGCCTCACAAGCAGGCGAGACTGGAGCTCGGATTCACTGCAGGGATTGCAGGAGAGCAGGCTCAGCAAAAGGCTGCAATGAGGACAGGACGTCCCTCACCTGCAGCGCCGTGTGCGCTCCCGGGTCCAAAATCCTCCAGAGCAGATCCATCTGCTGCTGCTGGAACTCCTCGTCGCAGCTAACGACGTGCACCACGTGGCAGCAGCTGTCCTGCGGCGGAGCAGAGCGACGGGCTCAGGCTGCGGCGCGGCACGGAGGCAGCAGCAGGCGGCCGGAGCCGGGCACGGGGCGCTCACCGCGCACTGCAGCACGGCCTCCTGCAGCTCCGCCAGGCACCGCAGCTTCTCCTCCGTCACTGCAAGGGGGCAGGAGGCTCAGAGGGGAGCGCGGGCGCGCGGCACCCCCGCGCCGTCCTGCCCCGGGCAGAGCAGGAATCACAGAATGGCTGAGGTTGGAAGGGACCCCTAGAGATCATCTAGTCCAGCCCCCTGGGACACACGGAGCACAGGGCGGCACCCAGGTGGGTTTGGGAGATCTCCAGAGAAGGAGACTCCACAGGCTCCCTGTGCAGCCAGTTCCAGGGCTCTAGCACCCTCACAGTAAAGTGCTTCCTCACATGGAAACGGAGCTGCCTGTGTTTCTGCTTGTACCCACTGCCCCTTGCTCTGTTGGTGGCCCCCCTCCTCCCTCCATGCAGTCTGGCTCCAAGCACTCCTTATTTTCCCCAGGATAATCAAAAGAAAGGCAACAGAGCGGCGTGCAGCGCGCGCAGCCGCCGCCGGGCTCGCGGAGCTCACCGAGCAGGACGCCCAGGTTGGGGTCGTAGCCCTCGAGGTGCTGCTGCTGCACGAAGCTCTTCAGATCCAGCCGCGCCAGGGCACCGGGGGGCAGCGCGGCCGCGCCGGGGCCGCACTCACCGGTCGTGGAATACGGTGACCGTGCCAGGGCCCGCGCCAGGGCCGCCACGGCATCACCGAGCTCGGGGCGGCCGTGGGGCCAGGCGACGCGGAGGCGCCGCAGCAGCTCGCGGCTCTGCTCGTCGCCCGTGGCGGGCACCAGGCGCACGCGGGCGCTGCGGGAGGAAGCGCGGTGAGGGAACCGCCG